GACCCAAGCATGAAAATCCATTTTTAGAGTGAAATGCTTTGCCTCACAGTTGTCTTTATGATAGATAGGTGTTTTCTGATAGATTCCATTCCAGGAAGCAGCATTCCTCTGTGAATCAGAACATGTTCCTTATACATATGATTGTATCCTGTAATATAGAATCTTCAGAGAAGTTGGAGATTTCCTGATCTATGAAAATGGAAGGCTTTGCATTGGTTTAGAAACTAGACCTTAGGAATTTGCCTTTTCTTCTACATAATCCAAGTAAGATGGGCTGAAACATTTGAATAGACTATATTGTTGTCATGCCTACATTTTTTCAGAAGTTTTCACCATATATTTTATTCTAGTTTAGATTTGATTTTTTAAATATTTGTTATAACGAGGGCTGAGGTTGTGGCTTAGTGGTAGAGTGCTTGCCTAGCATGTGTGAGGCACTGGATTTGATCCTCAGCACCACATAAAAATAAATAAAATAAAGGTATTGAGTGTATCTACAAGTATTTTTTAAAAATTAGCTGGGCACAGTGGCGCATGCCTGAATTCCCGTGGCTCTGGAGGCTGAGGCGGGAGGATCCTGAGTTCAAAGCCAGCCTCAGCAAAAGTGAGGCACTAAGCAACTCATCGAGACCCTGTCTCTAAATAAAATGCAAAATAGGGGGGCTAAGGTTGTGGTTCAGTGGTCCAGCACCCCTGAGTTCAATCCCTAGTACCAAATAAATAAATATATAAAAATATTTGGTATGATGAAATGAGAAATATTGTATAATAGGTTTCCATATTGTAGAAAATCTCTTACTTATTATTTTAATATGTCCCACAGCTTATCCCAGCTATATAATTAGCTAATATATAGTCATACCCAGCAGCAGATAGCAATGTTAGACATGGTAGTTCTAAATAAGTTATTACTGCTAGTATCCTCATTAATTATCTTCATTTTGAATGCATTGTTTAAATTTTCACATAGTCCAGGTCTCCAGGGGTATCCTAGTTAAGGATCTATGCATTAATATCAGCATTTAGATCTGTAACAATATTCAAATCAGTATTAAAACAGACTTAAGTACCAGATAGTATGTTTTATATTATTATTATCACACCTAATTTTTGGTATGGCTTTTACCATTTTTATAGCACCACTAATGATTATAATTTCGTGGTGGAAACATACAGATTAAACTGTTTCAAAGTATATGTATTACAAAAAGTAATTTATGGTATGTGGAAGACTTGGAAAATATTTCATTATATATAACAGGTAAAAGTATTGCTTTCGAAGTATATTTCAGCCCATTTTGAATTTTTTTTTTTTAAGCCAACACACTGGCTTGAAATGTCCCTAGTATCATTTCTAGAAAGAATCTTTTTAATTTGGCTTCCTGAGTCTCATGATAATTGACTTTTCTGTTGTGAAAATTAAGTCCTTTATACTGTTTCACCTTGATGTTTATGTGATTACTACTCTGCTTCTGAAGCATGTTTTCAGTCAGTGATAGTTTACCTGGATAGCACTCTAAGCTGCTAATTAGTTGTTTTAAATAGTTATAAATACTAAGCAATATAAATAGACATCTAAAAATAGCCATTTAATTAACAAGTTAAGAGTGATTTTTTCCCTCCATTGCATTTCTGTGTGGCTGAGCACACTACAAGGGAATTCTCCTGTTGTGTTTTTAGAAGAAGGAAAAATGTGCGCTGGAAGACACATAGCTTTCCTATAGTCCAGGTTCAAAATCACAGTTGAGCTACCAGAGCTTTTATCAGTTATATCAATGTTGCTGATGTGAATTGTATATCATTTTTGAGGAATTTTGACACTGACAATTGATATTTTTATTTAAAATTGATAATTTAAATATATTTTATTTTTTTATTCAGATTATTTCTAAGTCTTTGCGGGAAATGCTGTGTAACAGAAAAAAAAAGTTCAGCATCGTGTAAAATGGAGATGATACTTGCTACAAAGATCTTAAACACAGTTAACACATGTGTATGTGTGTTCATGCACATCTTGATGGTCAGGCTCAGTAAATTGCAGCTATTACTGTGACTGTGCTTTCTGAATAAAGCCATTTGTACATTTAGGTGAAGTTTTAAACCCTAAGGCTTTTAAATAAAAACCTACTTGTTATTAAGGAAACATTTCAGTAATGTATACTGTGTGTTATGTAAGTAAGACTGAAAAAAAAACTGTTTAAAAAGTATGTGTTTGCTGAGCCATCTTCTAACACACAACAAGTTTAGGAAATTTTAGATGTTTGCAGTTATTTTTTTAAATGTAAAAATAAAACATTTGATTTTTTTTCTTTAGGTCTTTTGTAGATTTTCTTAAACATTTGTAGCTTGAAATATGCATTTTATCACAAACATGGTGAGTGCATTCATTATTAGCTCAGGATTCTACATTACTGAGAAAATTCAACCTGATGTGTGATCACACAGTGGAGGATTCAGCTAGGAAGAGGCTGGTGGAAGGAAGCTATGAAGTTGAGTTTTGAACCTTAGGTAGACTCCCACTAATACCACAGAAAAGGAAAACAGGTTCTGTATTGTGTACTGCTTCTGCCAGAGACACAAATTTGTCTATGTGCAGGCTATAAGGAAATCACTACCCTTAGGAGTCTGGAGATTTGGTAACTACATGGAAGTATCCATTTTTAGAGTGAAGGGCCAGTTTTATACAGGCTTGATGAGTTCATTAACAACTTCAATGAGCAAATTCTGTCAACTGTAATCATTTTATAATTAAATGAATGCTGTCATGTTTTATATGATTTACAATATACAGTATATCCCTGAGATATTGAATAACTGTAGTAGCTACCCTAGGAAAAAAGTTTTAGTTGTTACTGATCATCTCAGAGGACTTCTTCCTGGGGGGATGGGACTGTATAAATTTAAACGTGTTTCTGCATGATTTTGATCTCTTTGTTTGCTATATTCCTATGGTCCTAGCTTGTAAATATCTGTAGCTGTCTCTCTTTAATTTTTCTCAAAAGGAAGATTTTGAAAGAGCATTTAAATTTCACAAAACTTCTTGTGTATAATCAAGGTAGGCCTCAAAAATTCAGTCTTGCCTTCTTTCCTGAGCTTGCTTTTGTTTCCCATTCCTTCTTCACCCTTAAAGGAAAAACAGATAGCAAAACACTTTATGAGATACTGTGAGAGAAAACGGAAGAACTAGCCCCAGCAGTGCTTCTCATTTCCTTGATCATCCAAATCTTTGTCTGTCCCTGCCGATGCCGGGAGCCTAAAGACCATAGCGACTGGCAGTAAAGGGACAAAAGTTGCAGCTAATTGAAGAAGGGGGATAAACTGTGAGGACAAATGGCTAGTGAGAGGTGAATTTTTTGAAGATGATGAAGATGAGGAGCGATGTTTTTAAAGTATAATTCTTAATCATTTTATCTAAGCTAAAAATCCATTCATTCATTTATTTTACTGTTTGGTAAAATAACCTCAAACACTGAATGTAATACCAAATCTTTGACAGTTGTAATGAGCTCTTTTTAGCAGCTTTTGATAATCAGAATAAAGTTACAACAAAAATTATACAGAAAGTTATTTACCATTTGGGATGCCAACTCTGTGATTTACAGTATTTTCAGATCAGAATTGATTTCATAGGACAGAGTTTTTCACGAGTTAGAAATTAAGACATTGGTACTGTCAATTTAACTGCTCATTTCTTGGGAGTCGAGAGATGACTTCTACTACAGTTCTGTATTTGAAGTCTTATTAATTGTCTTTTATATGATAAAAGCTAAAGCAGAGGTTCTGCTGCCACATCTTTAAGAGGAATGAAAAGCGTTATGTCCTTCATTGTAATATAAAGTGGAACTAGCAATCAAAATGCCTGAGCAGGCCTTTGAGTATAGCTTAGCTTAGTGATAGAGAGCTTGCCTAGTGTGCATGAGACCCTGAGTTCAATCCCCAGCACTGCAAAAAACAAAAACCTTAAGCAATTGGGTTTTATCAAGTTGTAATTGCTTTCATTTTTTTCCACCAAAAAAAAGCAGCTTATGTTTAGTAATGTTACATTAGTCCTGTGTTCAATATAAGAAACTAATCATGATATTAGAAGTTTTTCTTTCTGCAGCAGCTAGTGAAAGTGTCATATATTTGACTGTATATTCATTTTATTCCCTGTGTACTTTAATGTTTCACCAAGATCGCAGGCATCATAAAGTGAAAATTTTCTAAAGTGCTATCTTTATGTTTGAATATTTATATCCTCCTTTGAAGGAGCTTTGGAACAGTATATATCAATTTCTGTAGAGTTGATTTTATTTGTCATTTAATAAGACTTTATGTAAATGAACCATATGTGTATATATATATGGACATATATGTAAGTATTTATATGTATAGATATCCCTATAATTCTTAAGGTGATTTTGCTTTCCATAATTAAGAAACAAATTCCTTGTAAGATTAGTCAAGAATAGAAGATGAAGTATACCAAAATGTGTAATATTATTACAAAGTTTTAGAAAATATTCAAGCATAATAAACACCCCCTCTATGGAGTGTAGGCCATGATCTCTCACTGGAGGATAGATCTGAATTTGAGAGAGCAGGAAATTCAGTAGCATATAATTACAGCAGAATTCGTGCAGAGCCCTGGCCTCTTGTGTCTTGGTGTTCCTGAAGGAGCCCACATGAGTTAGTCTCGATGCTCCAACAACTAAAGAATAATAACCATGAGCTTTCTGTTAAATGAAGGTGCCAGTTGATAATGTATGTCACTGCATATTAATATTCTGTTTCCATAACAATTAAATATGGTTCTCAGTGTATTTGATTTCCCTCTGAATCAAGAGGAGTCATTCAGTGCTAGAATTTGATGCAGGGCTACCTGACATTTCAAGTGAGAATTATAACAGATATGAGAATTATGACAAGGACAGTCTAATTTAAATTTTATAAATTTTAGGAAATGTCATATTTTTACTGGTTTCAAAGACATTTTCAAATGTTTTAAACACAATTTTCAGATAACAGTAATGAAAAGCTGAGCCCCAAACCAGGGACAGGTGAACCAGTTTTAAGTTTGCACTACAGCACAGAAGGAACAACTACAAGCACAATAAAACTGAACTTTACAGATGAATGGTAAGTTAATCTTTTTGTGAAGATGTTCTTAGCCATTTTGTAGGATTGTGTGAGATGTGCATTTTTAGCTTTTTATCATCTTTATGTTTTGATTTGCTATAATGTGTTGGTTCTCAAACTATCAGTGTGCTTCACAATTCCGTGGAGAGCTTGTTAAAACAGATTGATGGACCCCACTTCAGCTATGTTTGGCGTGTGATCTGAGAAGTTACATTTCTAGAAATTTTCCAGATGATGTTGATGTTGCTTATCCTGACATATTTCTTCTGATAGAAAATATAATATTAATAACCTTCAAATTATTAGTGTAAAAATGTGGAATCTTGGCTCTATGTACAAATATGCATTTATGTAGGACTTTTGTTGTTTCACAACATAATTTTAATTATACCGAATATATCTATTCTCCCCTGCTTTTGTCTTATATTAAATACTCCCATTTTACTAGTCTTCATAAATATTATCTTACTAGTTCATCAGATAGATATGGTGTGAATGACTTAAGCATTTTCCTTTCATTGGGCTGTAATTCTGTTGTCTGTCATCCCCTAGTCCCCGCCACCACTACCACCGTGTACCAGGGACTGAACCCCCGCGGGTGCTTTGCCACTGAGCTGTATCTCCAATCCTTGTTATTTTTGAGGCAGGGTCTCTCTTAAGTTGTTGAGAATGGCCTCTAACTCGACATCCTCATGTCTCGGCTTCCCAAGTTGCTGGGATTACAGGTGTGAGCCACCACATCTGACATAAATACTTTACTTATCTTGATAAATAAACCTGAAGGCAGGAAAAGCTATTTATCCATAAATGAACTGTATCTAGAGAAAAGGTATTGCCAGATTATTTTCAGAAGGGCCCTCTCATTGCATTGTTATCAGCAGCATATGAATGAATGCATTTGATGGTCTCCAGGCCAGTGTTCACAGTAGTCATTTATCTTTTAACTTGTGTATTTGACTTTAAAATAATTTTAATTGTTATTTAATTTATCACTAATAAGGTTGAACTTTGTGTTTATTTAATGGTTGTATAGGTTCTCTCTAATGACATCTGATAATATACATTGCTCTGATTCTTACATTTAAAAAAATCATGTAAGCTTCTTATATTCTTTGTCAGTGCCTACTGGCTTGTTTGATGAGATATTTACATTTTTTATTTAAATTTATTAATATGAATATATTAATGTCAATTGAGATCAACAGTGTATTATTTCTTGATGTATGATCGTGTATTGATATAATTTCATAATTATATCCACTTATAAACTATATTTTATTTGAAATTAACATTTTATTATATATAATAATATCACACGCTATTAATATAAAATATCTTATGTACTAACACTACTTAGTAGTTATTTATTGACATATAACTATATATTGATACATGATAATATTTGTTTTATTCCATTCACTGTTTATATTCGTTTATGTGTATATTAAAATCTTTCATTAAGTAGGGTTTGAAGTATTATTGAATACCTAATATTCCAGGGACAATTCTAGACACTGGAAATGGATCAGTGAAAAAAATAGATAAGAGAATCTTTGCTATGCCAGAGCTTACATTCTAGGTGAAAGAAACAGTGAACATAGTGATAAAGTGTTCTGTGTAGAGTATTAGGGGGTCCTGAGCACCATGAGAGAAAGTGGAATAGGTAGAGGTGATCAGGAGACCAAGGGAGGAGTCGGCATCATGGAGGTTGTAACACTGGGCAAACCCTTGAACAGAGGGCCATTTGTGTGTGCAGGGCTTTCCCTACATGCATTCTAGGCAGAAAACCAGTGAGACAGAAACAGACCTGTGTGCATGGATCTTTAAGAGACCAGTGTAGCTGAAGAGGAGTGACCAACGGGAGAGAGGTAGCAGGGAAGGCCAGCCAGCAAGGAGAAGGTATCTAGAAGAATTGAAGAAGGGGCTGGGGATGTGGCTCAAGCAGTAGCGCGCTCGCCTGGCTTGCGTGCGGCCCGGGTTCGATCCTCAGCACCACATACAAACAAAGATGTTGTGTCCACCGAAAACTAAAAACTAAAAAAAAAAAGAATTGAAGATGTTTTGATTTCTGCACTGAGGGTTTGCCATAGGTACAAGTCAGAAGAACCATTCAAAGGCAATGACAAGCTGGGTGCTCTGGCTCACACCTGTAATCCCAGAGGCTCAGGAGGCTGAAGAGGAGGATCACAAGTTCAAGGCCAGCCTTAGTAAAAAGCAAGGTGCTAAGTAACTCAGTGAGACCCTGTCTCCAAATAAAATACAAAATAGGGCTGGGGATGTGGCTCAGTGGTTGAGAGCCCCTGAGTTCAATTCCCTGTGCCAAGAAAAGTGAGGAAAGGAAGGGGGGGAGGTAGTGAAAAGTGCCTGGGGTCTAGGCAGGTGTTAAAGGTGCAGTCATTGGGTTTCTTCATGAGCCCTGACTTTTGATCTTAACATTTTAAAATCATATCTGTGGCCCTTTACTTTGCCTTGTCTTTTCTTATGTTTCTGTACAAAACACACTGACTTCTTATAAAAACATTGTTTTAGGAAAAGTCATAATTCCATTCTTTTTTTTTTTTTTTTTCAAAAGGGCCCTCAAAAGTATGCAGTCTTATTTTTTTTTTTTTAATCCAATATGGTGTCTTGCTTTCATTTTAGTTTCTTTGGTGACAAATGAAGTAGTAGGACATACAACTTGGACTCTGGTTTAACAAGCTGTGGAACCGCTCTTATCAGTTTTCTTACCTAGAAATGAGCATATTTTATTAGAAATGAGTAGGCTTACAAAATAATCCTACTTCAAAGGTTTATTTTGAAGATTTGTTATTGACTTATGATGTCTATTTATTATAGAATTGAGGATATAACTTGTTTTATGTTGCAAATATTTTTCCCAGTTTGGTGTTCCTTTTGTAGTTTACTTAGGGTGGTTTTGCTTTCTGATTTCTACCTATGAGCTCATGCTTAGAAAAGCTTTGTCTTTCCTAAAATTAAGGAGAAATTTTCTTTTTATTTTCCTCTTTTTTTATGGTTTTATATTAAAAACTATATACTTATGGAATTTATTTTCCTATAAAATACAATATAGAGCTATAGCATTAGTTGTTCTGCACGACTGTTTCTTTGTCCCAGTATCATTTATTAAACAGTTTTTTTCTCTGTGATCTAAAATGCCATGTTAACTATGCTAAATGTATTTATTTGGATAGTGTGTCTTTTCTATGAATATCTATATTCCTACACCGGAACCATAATATTTTAATTATTATGAATTATACACTAAGCATTTTATTCATACCTATACCACAGCTTTCTCTGTGGGAAAAAGAAACATGTAGTGGCTTATCTTTACCTCAATGGCTTCCTATTTCCTACTGGTTAAAAAGAAATGCAAAAATAAACAAATCAGCATAAAAAATTTCATCTGTAGTGATCCTATTAAGATGACACTTGCAACACTGGTACATAGCTCTCTTTGACATTTTTCTCTGCATATATACTCATGTAGGTATATATTCTTATTTGAAATAATACCAAGTTATACATGTATGCTTTTTAAAAATATCAAATTTACTTCTGCAGTTAGTCTAAAAGGGTTGTTATAAAATCTTGGCAAAAATTCATAATAATTTTCATTGTTTATTGGGTCACTGCTGTTCATCTATAATTAACATTTTAAGTTATTGTCTCTCTTAAGCTTACTTCTTCATATTTATTCTGAATTTAGAGAATTATTACATTTTTATGAATTCAATTTTAATCTGTCATGTTATAATACATTATATTCTTTCCGACTCAATTCCTCCTTATGCATTTCCCGAAACTTGTCACAGAATACTCATTGAAAATTGCTCATTTAAATTAGTTTAGTACTCTCTTGTGGCTAGAATACTAATAGCACCACAGCTATAATCAGGTGGGTTTTAAAACTAAAACAGAAACCATCACCTCTTTTGATAAAATCATAATGCTCAGTCTTCTGCTGTATTTGATTTTTTGTTGTTTTTGTTGTGTTATTCTGTTTTGTTTTTGTTTGGGGTACCAGGGATTGAACCCAGAAGTACTTAACCACTGAGCCACATCCCTAGCCCATTTTATATTTAGAGACAGGGTCTTGCCAAGTTGCGTAGGGCCTTGCTAAGTTGATGGGGCCGGCTTTGAACTTGAGATCCTCCTGTTTTAGCCTTCTGAGCCACTGAGATTATAGGCATGTGCCACCACACCTGGCTGCTGTCATATTTGAACAACAAACCAGAACTGGAAGGGATCAATGGGGGAGCATTTCAGAGACCAAAGAAATGAACAGCCTTCCATTCAAGTATTAATATAAAAATAGTCTGAACCACAGTCTAAAAGGGCATATGATCAAAATCTATAAAACTATTAAAAATTGAAGTCTGGTGACTAGCTGTAGACAAAGAGAGAGTCAAATATAATTCACTTAAAATTTCATAGAGACCAGGGCTAGAGGGGTGTAGCTTAGATGCCCTGGATTTATACCCTGGTGTGCGCATGCACACAGATGTGTAGAAATGCATACTAGATCATAGAAGCATCAAAACAGCGAACAGGTGTTCCTCATTTTAAAATCTTGTTTATACTGAAAGTATGTTAGATTAATCTTTTGTTTTTAATTTCTATTCTGAATTTTCTGCTATACTTCTCTAGTTGTAAAACAAAAAGCATCCTTAAAGTTCACTTTTATTAACTTTGTGGTGGAACCATTTGTCTTCTTTTGGTGGTAGGAGCAGTATAGCCTCAAGTTCTAGAGGAAATGGGAGCCATTGCAAATCTGAAGGTCAGGAGGGATCCTTGGGTCCGCAGAGCTCAATGCAGGCACCAGAAGGAGACAGTGAAACAAGTAAGGGGTTTTTTTGTTTTGTCTTTATGAATCCCCAGTGTTGGATGTCCACCTGTTTTTTCTGTTCCCTCCAGTGCTACACTTTTGTTTCTTATGTTTAACAAGTTACTCTTAACCTACTGTAGCCCAGCTATTACATTGATAAGTAGCAAATACAAAAGGGGGGGACCTTAGGCCATCAGGATGGGAAGGCATAGTGAAGCGCACAGTCCCACGTGTAGATACCAGGACTAGGATGAGTGGTCATTTTGATGTGAGTGTGTGAGATGTAAGTGTTAATTTGAACTGTGCCAGTTTCATATGTGGCAGTGAAATCCATAGTATGTCTTGATTGTTAAACAGTGTAGATGGTTTATAGAGGGAAAACAGAAGCAGTCAAGCCTAAACAAAGTGTGAATGATGCCCATGAAATGCCATTTAGGGAATTTTTTAGAACCCTTTCCTAGTAGAATATTGTTACACAAACATTAGTTAAGTTTTAGTGTCCAGCACAGAGACTAGAACACTGAAGATATTCAGTAAATGCTTGATAAATGAAGTTACAAATGAATTATGTTTTTAGGTTAGACAAAGCAAGAACAAGTTATATCAGCAGTGAGGGGTAATCTAAAGCAGATATTATGCATATAGAACTCAACAAAGCTCAGGGCCTGGACTTTGGGAAGAGGAAGTGGGCCCATCTACCCTTGATTGCATTTGTACAGTTCTGTGCACAAATATATATTTGCATTGTACTGGGGTAAAGTTTTGTCTAAATGTCAAAGGTTTCTATGACACTTCATCTATAGGGAAGCTGGAGTATTAAGTTGGTATTTATTTTTCAAAAAAATTAAGATTTAATAATGATTTGATTTATTTCCAGAAGCCTCTGAAGAAGTATCAGAGAATATGCCAGAATATGAGGAAGGTACATCTGCAGAAAACCCAGTTCAGAGCTGTGTAGATATAGGTAAGTTTTCTTGCTCCCTCTACATAATTGCTTCTTATGGGGAAATGAACAAACTTAATCTGTGTTAGTCCTCCACAGTTAGAGACCACCTCTAAATGGGTGTGTTGTACAGCTTTCCTCGTTGAGGAATGAAATTTCATATTTATTTTGTCAGCAACTAAGTTAGGTTAAGTGATGTTGTCCATATCGCTAACTGTTAGGTGCTACTTTATTTTCTGTCAGCACAATTAGATAACTTCACAGCTGAGCCATTGGATTCCAGCTCAGGAGAAAGGAATGATCTCAGTCTTGATAGCCCTTGTGGGGTTCCAGAAGAATCTACTTTGTCTGAAAAAGACAAGGAACTGGAAACTGTAGATCAGAACAGGAGTGAGAGTGCTGCCATTGAAACTAATACCAGTCCTGAGCCCCAGTCCCAAACAGAAGCCATCGGTCCTTTGGCTCATGAAGAAACATCAGCCAGGGACTCTGCGCTCCAGGACACAGATGACAGTGATGATGACCCAGTGCTGATACCAGGTGCAAGGTATCGAACGGGACCTGGTGATAGGTGAGTAAAGTTTTAATTAGCTTAAGCTGTAAAAAGCACATTTCACAGGGGTTTGTTGAAAAGTCACATAAGAGAGTGGATGTTTTTCATCCCTTCCTTAAGGGTTTCTCGTAGTATAACCCACAGTAAATTATTTTCATAGCATATTCTTTGAACACATTGCATTAAGAGAGAAATAAAAAATCATCTTTGCTCTGTGCCTCTGTACAGAGCAGCTTACTCCTTGGTTTGCAGATGAAGAGAAAGGAATGTTGACATTGACCAAAAGGTTGTTCTTAAAGCTAAGTTATATTTAGTTGTCAGATTGCCTTATAGGTACTCTGACCTCTATCTGTTTTGTTTTTGTTTTATGTTAAGTTTTTCTGCTTTCCTGCTGGCTCTGAGTTTTTAATAAGCTTAATGACTTGATTTAGAAAATGAAAAATTACAGTAAGTAACAAATATTGTAGCAACAATAAAAAATTGAATTGCTGATACGTTCATATTATTTTTTCATTTTTCAGTGTATGTGATCACAAGAACATATTTTATTTTTTAGGAGATAAAATAAATAATACATTCCATACTTGTAGAAAACTTACTATAATCAGTGATATCATGTCATTGTAAGTTCTGTCTTATTCCAGAAAATCCAGTTTATTCTTAAAATCCTAGTTTACACAGGAGTGAGGTTCTGTTCAGACCATTTCACATATTTATATTCAGCTTACATTTTAGTAAGAATTAAAAATCAGTCAGTCATAGGACCTGGCTCACACTGAAAACACTAAATGATGGCTGTATTAAATAACCCCAAGATATTTATTCTCTGTGGCCATGTAGACTTAAAAAACAATGACAGTGAGCAGCAGCTCCAAGAGAAAAAAACTGACAGATGACAGGTAAAAACCCTGAGCAGCATGACCTTCGGGGTCAGTGGAAACCCCTTTCTCTAATTGGAAAGGATATGCCCTTCCTTGGTCATCTTTGGGAAATGTTTACTTTGCCATGAGACTGTTTTCAAATGCACAACAAGTGCATTTCTGCTTTGGATCAAACATCTTCTCTTTTCCTACCACCCATTTAGTCCTTAGCATTCTTAATATATTGTTTTATTTTTTAAATATTTGTTTATTTTTTTAATTGTAGATGGACACAATACCTTTATTTTATTCATTTTTATGTGGTGCTGAGGATCAAACTCAGGGCCTCACATGTGCTAGGCAAGTGTTCTACCGCTGAGCCACTACCCCAGCCCCCTTAATATATATTTTAGATGAGTAAAAGTTACTTCTTTTTCTTTCCATACCCACAGCAGAGTCCCTTACAATGTCATCACCTCATAATATATGCAGATAGTTAACAAACACAGTACAATTTGAAAATCAAGATGATGGTTTCCACACCCTGAGTGAAAAACTGTGTTCTATAATTAATTAAGCTTATTCACTTATAGTCTTCTATGTATGTAAGTTATATTTTTAATTTAAAATTTTTTCTTCTGTATTGTTCATAAAAACAAAATTTTAGTGTCCAGTTTCTAATTATGTGTACCATATCACTTTCTGTGTTCATTTATTTAAAGAATTAATGTTTTTTTAATGGCTATTAGACACTTGCAGAAAATTGTAATTATTTAGCATCTTCTGTTCAGGTTAAGTAACACCTTTTTATGCTAAGCTGAGGAAAGTGAGGTGCTAAAAGGAGTTTTATATATCCTTGACGTAAGGAAAATTTTCTTTTTAAACCCAATAATATGACATCAATGAGAAAGGAGGGTTTGAGGGAATAAGAATCCTAGAGAATCCAGAAACTATAATATCTTTCTATAGAGATTATCATTTACTTACCATTTTCATAATACTTAGATGATTTATATGTTTTAGGGATTTTCTTAGGGTTTGGATCTGCCACAGTTGGCACCTGATAGCTTCATTAACCCAGGAAACCCAGGTTCTAAACTAGACTAGCAGGATCTTCCAAAGTTGGTAATTATGGACATCAGCCTAGAACTGTGACCCCATTTTATGCATAAACTCTCATGGTTAAATCCAGATTTAAAAACACCCTAGGTTCACATTGGTTTCCTTACCTTTTTAAAAAATTAAATGTTATTTATATTCTGTATGCTCAGTTTGGATGTTAACCTTAGTTTGCCCTGTATATTATTTTGTTTTGTTTTACAGGTCACAGTAATAAACTTACTGAATAGTAAAAGAATAATAAAATTCTTACCCCTCAAGATACTTAGTAATTATTGAAGAAATATACAAGCTATTTAAAACATGGAAAACAAATTTAATAAATATATGAAATTAAGTAAAAATAGTATTTATGTATATAAATACACACAAACACATATACTGCAGTGATACTAGCATGATTAGAGTACTCATTTCATAATTACTTAAGTTGTTCCTTTGAGATTTGCATTATTCTTTTCTCTTTCAAGAATTTACAAATGGTGAGAATTTTCCTTTTTTTTTTTTTCTTGTAGTTTCTAACCTCCTTAGCACCATCTTGACTTAATTTGAATTACCTATAAGAAGTATGCTTTTAATATTTCTGCACTTTTAAAAGAGTGCTTTATCCTTGAGACTACTGCCAGTTTGTTACTTCTAAATTTAAAGAGATAAATAAGTTGACTTTTATTCTAAAGAAAGAAAGTCTTAAGAGATAATTTTGTTTCTTAAGAACTTGAGAATTATTATTTATCAGCTTGTAATTTAGGCATGTGATAAGATGAGTTTTTGTATCTGAAGAGGCTAAGAATCCTGAAGTGCTGCCATGAAATCGGGAACATTTGGCTCTTACAATCACACATGGATGAAATGACCCCCTAAACGTGTGCATATCGTAGAGGTCCCTCATTGCTGCCTTTTGAAAAGCCCAGTCCATATTAGTTTAGTTAGGGTACATTAGTTTAGTTGCTAGTCCCAAAAGTAAATATGGTAAAAGTGCATAGTTAATTAAACCTACACCTTAATTCATATGAACAACTCCATAATGGATCTCATAATTTATTGCCCCAATTTAATTTTTACTTCAATTTTATTTTTCCAAATGTAATTTTTAAAATGAAATTTAAAAGACATAGATAAGTTATTTTGGACATGTGTAATCTAAAAATATCACAGCAGTTCCTTGTATTGCAGAGTAATGATTTTTTAAAAAATTTGCATTCTTATACTTTGGTTAATTAGAAATGACCCAGGTTTTCACTTTTGGACTGAGATCAAGCATGAGAAGGATGTCTTAGAAAAAAAGGCCTTAACAACTAACATAGATATTTTTAAACGGAATGCTCTTCTGATTAACTGTAGCAAGTCTATATGAGTAACTGGGACCCTGTACAGCAGAGGTCAGCAGATTTTTTTCCTAAAGGACTAGATAATAAATATTTTAGGCTTTGCTGACCTAGAAGCAAAGTAGAGACTATTATGAGGTACTTATATAACATTTTAAATATAAGCATTTTAAGATGTAAAAACTGTTGTTAATCTAAAGGTCATTACAAAAACAGCTGGCTACAGTTTGCAGATCCCTCCTTACAGTCAGTCAGTCATATAGAGAGAAACCAAGCCATAAGTCTGTAGAAAATGCCTTTACTGGCAGAATTCCAAAGTTTAAGACAATGGACTATATAAATCACCACATATTTTGGTCCCTTAAACTTTGTCTAGGTCAAGAATATATTAAATATTAATATTAGATATTAAATGGAAAATGAATCTAAAAATGAAATAAATACATATATGCTTTGTAATCCTGGAATTAAAAAGCAGCACATGAGATTAGCACATGTGCCCCTTACTGCCTATGGGATGCATTCAGAAGGTCGAGTGTGTGCTCTTGGAGTGGCGGAAGAGATGCAGTTTTTAATGTCAGATCAACTGTGGAGCAGTCCTTGGAATGATGGCCTGGCTGGTAGTTCTTCTCCTGCTGAATTTAAGAGGAAAATGAAATTGATGTGCAAAACAAGCAAATGAAACTTCCTGAAGCAGTGCTCACTTGATGTTGAATAATTTTAGTTGTAGCCTCAGTTTAATTAAGAAGCTTTAACAGTTTTCTCCCTAGAGATTAAAGATCTTAATCCTGGGCTGAGGTTGTGACTCAGTGGTAGGGCGCTTGCCTAGCATGTATGAGACACTGGGTTAGATTCTCAGAACCACATATAAATTAATAAATAAGTAAAGGTCCATCAACAACTAAAAAATATTTTTAAAAAAGATTAATCCTATGTTGCCTGTTAATAATTTTTTTAAAGTGTATATTATTTGCATAGCGTTGTGGATGTATCCACCTACTCTGGTCTCTGTGGAAGGTGGCCATTGTTTTTAAAGCCAGAATTCTTTGTACTGTGAATTTGCCAACCTGTGTTAGCAGTCATCATTATAACCACTCATTCCATATTTTTGGTGATTCTAGTTTACTCTTTATTAAAAGAAAATTGCAGAGGCAAAAAAGTAAAGAAAAAGAACTGGTCTCCTAGGGAGGTAAAAGCCCTGTTACTCTTTGCTTGCTGCTTCTATATCCTCTTGTGCTTAGGCCACATGAGTCAGCTCCAGGCCTAATGATTTATTTCCCAAATCACAGCTCAGCTCTGCGGAGCATAATGTAGGTGTTCCAGGGGATGGTATTCATGACTCAGTACAGTTCCCCACATTCTGTGACAGGTTCAGGTCTATTTATTTGAAAGATAAAAGAGATTGAGAGCAGTGTCTTCCTTCTAATCTTTCTTCAGTGATTGTGTCTGTTTGCTTAATTTCTTTGTACACATTTAGTTGGATGACATATTCTTCTTTAATGCCCTAAGTCACAAAGGGAAGCAAATTTCTTTTTAGATTGAGATGATTGATGGTAAAAGTGGTAACCTTAATGCTTTACATATTTGGTTCTTTGGAGTCTTTGTAAGTGACTTTAGTTATTGTGTTCCCTTCACTAGATTTAATATCAGAGGAACTACAATAGGTGATAGAATAATGAGGTAATTCAGAATGTTCCTTCATTATTTCTTCTTT